GAAAAGGGGACGGGTGGGACAGGGAGTAAAATCTACCCCGGGAGAGGGGCCGTCAACTGGGGGGAGGGCCCGGCCCCCCCCTTCCCCCTTGGGGACCCGGTTTTGGTTTTCCCAAGGACAACCCGAGGGATGGTTTTCTTTGCTCACGGCTTTGGACCGGGGGGGGGGGGGGGGGGGGGGGATACAAGGAGGATTGTCCCAGAGCTTTTCGTGTCTTTTTCTGCTTTACAAAGGTATAGTAGTGCACATCCCCAGATGTCCAGCCTTCGGGGTCATTAGCATGAAACTGATTTGTGAGGGAGAAGGCATTTTATAGAAGCATCGCAACTCTGAGGTTGTCCATGGATTTACACAGAGTGTATCGGTGAAATACAACAAGGTCCAGATGGCATTTTAATCCACACTCTTTAGAATTAAGGAAAGATCATATTCTGATTGTTATGTGTGTGAGACAAGATCAATCCAGATATATATATTTTTTTATTTCAGAGAGGAAGGGAGAGAGAGAGAGAGAGAGAGAGAAACATCAATGATGACAGAGAATCATTGATCAGCTGCCTCCTGCACGATCCCTACTGAGGATTGAGCCTGCAACCCAGGCATGTGCCCTAACCAGGAAGCCAACCGTGACCTCCTGGTTCATAGGTGGATGCTCAACCACTGAGCCATGCCTGCTGGGCTGGGTTGCCTTTGGGAGGTGGGGCAGGGGGGTGCTTTTTTAATGGTGAAAGTGGATTTGTGTTCTGAGTAGTGAGTTTTAGGGACTGCTTTAAGCTTCATTTTTAAAGTTAATGTTTCCCAGACACTCTGGGTCAGTTCTGTTCTCATAGAATGGCCCAATAGTCCACCGAACTCAGGCTGAAGGACAGAATAGAACAGTGAATCTACAACCAACAGGGGCTTTTTAGGCAGAGATTTCCTTTCAACGGTGGTTCCCTTTCCCTGAGCATAGCCCCTGGGAATGTAAAAGATGAGTAATTGAGTCATGTGACAACTTATCCAGGAAATTAATTAGTGGGGGAGACAGCCCCTGCAGAAGTAAAGCACAGGAGAGGTGGTTGCGAAGCATTGTTGCAGAGGTCCAAGAGGCTGCTGTGAGTGCGGAGGGGGAGGAAATTCTGCCTTTGGGAAAGTCAGTAGAGCCGCCTTTGCATAGGAGCTTAATCAACGGGGGTGAAATGGAAGGGGATGAGGGTAGAGCTGGTTGACTGTGGGTCAGGGGACTTGGGAGGCAAAAAGATGAGGGACGTTTTCATGAAACCGTTGTCCTGTGAGACTGTCGGTGTAGGTTTAG